ATATATATATAATATTCAATATAAATTATATTTTAAAATTTTTTAATTTATAAATAATTATGATACATAAAAGTTGAATTAGATAAAATATTAAAAAAAATTCTACAAATTATATAATTGAAGAAATGTTCGTAAAAATATTTTTACAATTGATATTACGATCATTAAAAGGAAAATAATTATTAAAAGAAGAACATTCTCTAAAGTTATATACGTGTTTCCTCCTAAGTGCAAGATAAATTATGGCCACAGAATTATTTCTAATTAATCAGTTCTTTCCCGTGAATCATTCTAGTATTTTAAATTTAAATAAAACTATAAATAAAAATATATTAAAAAAAATTAGTAAATATTTTCATTGTTAATAAGATTTTTAAATTAATATAAGAGACAAAACTTTAAAAACTAAAGGAAAAAATATAAGGACTTACAAAATGTCTTTAGTCATTTAAATTTGGAAATAAGATTTTTTTAGCCTCCATTTTTATAAAATATCTTTTTAATTTTTATGATTTTAAAAATAATTTATTTTAGTCACTTAAACATTGTTAATCAATTTACCATACATAATTTACTCATTACTATTATTGTATGATGAAAATATCAGTGGACTCAATTTTTACCATACAAGTATAATTGACTTAAATGTGATTGATACTTGTTAGACTCAATTTTTATTATACAAGTATAACTGGCTTAAATATGTGATGGTCACTATTGCCAGTTATGTTCGAAATGGTTAGAGAATAAAACAAGTTTTTTTTTTTCAAAATATAAAAGTTAATAAGATATTTTTAAAAAAATTGAATAAAAAATTTACTTTAAATTTGAAAGATTAAAAATATATTTAAATAAATTATAAAATTTTCTATTTGAATCAAAATACATTAATTATATCAATAAGAAGTGTGAAAACTTGGAATTTATAAAATAAAATAAAATTATGATTAATTAAAATTATAATAATACTGAAATTTATTTGATATAATCGAAACATATCTTCGATATATGGATAAGAAAAACATATCTTCCATATATGGATAAGAAAAACATATCTTCCATATGATATAATGAATCAAAACATAAATTTTAAATTAGTTCCATCAATCTTCATGAATTGAAGGCTCATCAATATTGAAGGCAATGAAACACAGATTCACTAGTTGAGTGACACCTAATACAAATATACGAGTTTTAAAGTTTGAATATTTCTAATAAATCTTGTGGCAACCACTTGTGGCTTTTGAGCTTGTAAAAAAAAAAAAAAGGTAATGTTACTATCTATTAGGTGATAATGAAGATAGCTAATATAGTGATCATTTTGTAATGGGCTTTGGACACACAATATTGATTCATGTGGACAATATTGTACGCCTTAAACAATAGGATCACCATGAGAGGCTGTGGGGTTAACATATACTCAGGACTAGGTTCCTTCTACTGTTACTATGATTATAATCGCTTGCTATAGTGCTTTAACCATCAATAACTGAGTTTTGAGAGTGTGACAAGGTGGGGAAGTCTTCACTCCTTCATTTGCATTTTCAGGGGATTCATAGTGCAACCATGCTGGAGATAATGACTATAACAAGTGAAAATTTTGTGTCCTAATGTCATTTAATATCAATTTTTTTTTTGTCTCAATTATTTGTTAAATTTGGTGTCAGAGCCGATATTATTGTATTTAAGACTGATTTTATGAATTTTTGTTAACTATAAAGATGCAAATTTGAAAAATACCGTTTTGGTTATCTAAAGATTGTCTTAAGTTGATTGGGAATTTAGGTTTCATAAAACTAAAAGAATTCAAGTGATAAAGTTTGTTTTGAAAATTCCTGTTAAAATTTAGTGAAACCATTTTTCCATTTATTGATATTTATTAACAATCCCTTCTATTGTTATTAACTTATTAGATCTTGATTAAAATTTTGAGTTTAAAGATAGACTAAACTAAATCCACCCCAACTCATCAATATTTAGGTGCTGTTTCTCTTTCGGCCCATTGCTGTTGTTTTTTTAATGATTACTCTACATCACCTTGAATAAAGGTTAAACTGCATAAACGTCTAAAAGGTGGTCAAACTTGAAACTACAACCATCTACAATTCCAGCATTTTATTTTTCAGATGTAACAATTAGCCAATCATCCAGTATCCTAATTAACATGGCATGTTTAGCCATGTACGATACAGTGTCAGTGCCCTTCACATGAGCAAAGTGTCATACTATTAAACCCTTCTATTTCTAAGTTTTCTCCATCAAGTCCAAATGTTTCTCTTTTGTTTTATTTATTTAATTAATTCATGTCTTTTTCCATTGTTCATAACATGGACGTGTGGATACCTATAAGGTTCTTTGCTAGCATGCAATGAAGTTAGTGGCAAGTTCATGACTCATCCTCAATCCAAGGACTCTGCTTGGGTCTCCCAACATTCCTAAGGGCCTTCCACACAACACTGTTACACATGAACCCTGCACCACAAGCTATTTGGCAAACCCGATCACCCCTTTTGACCCTTGAGTTCAACTCAAGGTAAGCAAGTTCATACCAAATGCTGCTGCTTGATGTGTTGCCAAATCGCTCCAATGTCTTCCTTGATGCTTCCATGTACTCCTCTGTGAGCTCCAAGTTCTTCTGAATCTCATCAAGCACCTTCTTGCTCGTTGCTAGAATGCACATGTGCTCGAATGCCAGCTTGTAATCCGGAATGTATGGCTTTGTTTTCTTTTTCTTGAAGATCAAGTTGGTGAAGAAGTGAAGCTGCTCTGAAACGGGTAGCACTAGTGGACCTAGTGTGGTGATGTTAGCCTTCAGTGCATGGCCTCCAACCTCTATCACATCTTTGCTCACTGAAAGGCCCTTCCTCCCTTCACTATCTTCCCTTTGATGTATGCTTTTGTAGCTTCTGTTGTCCTTTCCTTTGTGAGTTCGGACCAACTGCAACATGCATTAGCCATAGCTCAAAGCAATAAGAGATCCTAAAAATATCTCTTATAAAAACTAAACAAAAGTTATGATGTCATGAGAGGTAGATGTGTAAAGTAACATAGTAGAGGTGTATCCACTCTATGGACAAAACTTATATGAGAATGCTAGTGAATGTTGCATCTCATTTAATGAGTTTATTTCTTGATTTACTAGTACTTTAGGAGTCTACACATATCTTCGTATTGGTAAAATATTGTTTATTTTTAACTTAAACTTTAGTGAATTTGCTTTTAGATGGCTTTTTGGGTAATATTCAAAAATAAATTCTTGAGGATTTAAAATTAAAGTGAATAATATCATACTAATACAGAAACGTGTGTGAACTCCCGGAACACAACAAGTATTAGGATCCACTAAAATTTATGATTTTCAATTAATAGTAGAAAGAGTG